AGAAGAGTTGAAATGAATGCATGCAAGATTTCACAGCTCTAGCATCACTCCTTCTTTGTCAGGCTATGAACTTTTCAACCCACCCTCGTACCTGGAAAGAAACAATGCAGTTATTAATAAAAAGAGTTGAAATGAATGCACACAAAATTTCACAGCTCTAGCATCACTCCTTCATAGTCAGCCTATAAATGTTTCAGCCCATCCTTGTCCCTGGAAAGAAACAATGCAGTTATCAATAAGAAGTGTTGAAATGAATGCATGTAAGATTTCACAGCTATAGCATCACTCCTTCATAGTCAGCCTATGAACTTTTCAGCCCACCCTCATATGCTTAAGTATATGCTTGTTTTTTTAATATTTTTTCTCAAACAGAGAAACTGATATCTACCAGGCAAGAAGCTAGGATCAGTTGCTACGATTGCTAGTACAAAAACTGGTTCACTGTGTCATGCTAGACAATTTTTCTCGCCAGAATCTATCTTACGCATTTATAAGTCTACCATTTATCTATGCCTTGAATATTGTTGCCATATATGGTCTAGTGTTTCTGCTATGTACTTAGATATTCTTGATAAAAGCCAAAGTATCTGCAATGTTATTGGTCCTGACCTGGTATCTTGGCTTCAGTCACTCCCACCATCATAACATAGCTTTCCTGTTTCTTTCCTATAAATATTTTCATTTTGTTCTGATGAGCTTTCCTTTTTGGTACCTCAACTTTATGAAGTGCATTTAAGTGAATCTAATGAACACAACTAGCAGTTTGAATTCCAGTCAGGTCCGTTATGTTTACTTACAGACAAATACTTTTAGGAAAGGGTATTGATCCATCTCTTCTCTCCTCAGATATGGATTGATTAGCATGACAGACTGGGTCCTATAGCCTTGGTTGACAACCAGTCTATTACAGACAGAAGTGACAGCCTACTGCAGGAAAATCTTCTGCCAAGTCAGTCATGAATTGAAAGAGGTGTGATCACCCAAGCGTATATAATGTGTGGCACTTAACCGACTGACCTGGACTTTACTAATTTAAGTGAAGTACTAAATTGGCAGCAAGGTATCATCATTTTACGCTTGAAATGGCAGCTAGATGTAACCTGCTCTATGCTAATTTTTTTCTCTTGCACTTCTCGCTTGTGGAGCCCTCTTCCAGCTTCTTGCTTTCCAGTCAAATTTGATCTTCAAAAATTTAAATGCAATGTCAATCGTTATCTTATGTCTTCTTAGTTCCTGTTTTTTTTTTTTTGTTCTTGCTCCTTAATAATGTTTTCTTTTTCTCAATACTCAGTATCCACTTGTGTCTTAGTGGATTTATCGCCTTACTTTGGTTGAAATGATTAAAAAAAATCATCTAAAGTTTTATTAAAGTTTTTATTGGTTCATAAAAGTTACTTTGTTTTGGGGTATAAAGTTAAAATAGACTTTGAAAGTTCCCAGTGAGAGATATGCATTTTTTTAAATTGAGTTTTGCTTTGCTGTAGGTGCCTCCTTGGCCAAAACTGTAAAAGCACATCTGGTTACAATGTAGTTTCACTAAGGTAAAAAGGGTGTATATAAAAATATATATATATATATATATATATATATATATATATATATATATATATATATATATGGTTGTTTGTAGTCTTCTTTTATATTTATATTAATATATTTTATTAAATAGCTACCATTGTTTTCATCCTCAAATTATATACAAAGTTGAAGTGGAAAGATATTGAACACATTGCTAGGTCTGCTACTAACAAAGTTGGTTCACTGTGTTGGTTCAATTTTTCTCATCTGAATCTCTTTTACATTTTTATGAGTCTACCATTCATTCATGCATACTTTGAATATTGCTGCCACATATGGTCTGGTTCTCCTGCTATATATTTAGAAATTCTTGATAAAATCCAAAGAAGAATCTGCAATGTTATTGGTCCTGACATGTCATGTTGGCTTCAATTACTTTTCCAACACAATAATGTATCTTCCCTGTGCCTTTTCTATAAATAATTTATTGGTAATTGTCCAGATGAACTCTTCGCTATGGTACTTATATGAATTTACACACAGTATTAGATTGGCGGCAAGGCCTCATCAATTCACTGTTGAAATGGCTAGATGTAACCGTAAGTTCTATCCTAACAGTTTTTTCTCTTGTACTTCTCACCTGTGGAACTCTCTTCCAACTTATCGCTTTTTAACTAACTTTGATCTTCAAAAATTTAAATGCCATATCAATCGTTATCTACTGTCTTTCTAATTCTTTTACTGTTCTTGCTCCTTAATAATGTTTCTCTCTTTTTTTTTTTTTTTTATTCTTTCACACTCAGTATCTCATTGTGTCTTAGTGGCTTTACTACCCTGCTTGGGGTGAAATGATTAAAAAAAATTCAACATTGTTTCTTGTTGCTATATATATTATTTTTAGTGAGTTTATGTGTTTGTCATTTGTTTTCTTTGCAATGCCCTTTGAAACAATATCTTTAATCATTCTGTTGAGAAGTGTATTGATGCAAACTCCAGAAGAGCAAATCTTTGCACCTTCTTTGGTACACATTTTACACTGACATGCAGTGGAGTGACTATATTGAATCAATTGCTGCATCTACTGATAGGAATGTTGATTCACTGTGTTATACCAGAAAATTTTTCTCATCAGAATCCATCTTGTACTGTCTTAGGTATGATGATAAACTACATCCAGCAATAAGGCCTCTGATTGGGAGAATGGAGGTTTTGAGGAGCTTGGAACTATGTCTTAATTGCTGTTGTTCCCAGATCCACCCTGACCCTGGGTGGTAGTACCTGTTAGGGTCCCAGTTATGGGCAAATAGTGAACCACCAAACTGGAGTCAAAACATGAAAATATAAAAATGTATTAGAAAAATAAAAAATTATTGGCAAAAATAAAAAAAATCTCACAAAATAAAATTTCAGCATTAAATGACCCATGAGGAGTTGATATGCCATCAAAACCAAAACAAACCATCTTGCACATTTATAAATCTACCATTCGTCCGTGCATTGAATACTGCTGCCATATCTGATCTGGTGCTCCTGCTGTACATCTTGAGATTCTTGACAAAATCCAAAGAAGGATCTGTAATGTAATCGATCCTAATCTGGCATCTCAACTTCAATCATTTCTCACTGATTTGATGTGGCTTTCCTCTGTCTTTTCTACAAATATTTTCATGGCAACTGTTCTGATTAGCTTTTTCCTGGTGCTTTGACAACACAAATTTAAGCATACTACAAGATTGGCAACTAGGTCCCACTGTTGAACTAGCTAGATGCAACTGCCACTTCTTTTCTAGCATTTTCTTTTCTTGGTACTTCTCACCTGTTGAGCTCCCTTCTGATTTCATGCTTCCCTGATAACTACAATCTTCAAAAATATAAATACAATGTCAATCACTGTCTTCCTGAAGCCTGTTTCTTTATTTATTGTCCTTTTGTCACTTTGCCTAACTAAAGTACTCACACTCCCTTTCACTCCCTGTAACCCCCTGTGTGTCAGTAGCATTATCAATTTACTTGAGGTGAATTGATTAACAAAACATGTAAATGTTTCTCTCTCTCTCTCTCTCAAACAGTGAAATTAATATCTACTGGCCTGGAAGAATTAAAAATCCTATTAAAAACAATGTGCCTCTTTGTAAGGATTGCATTACTTTTTTATCTTAGGGAAATTACTTTGTAGCCTGGCATGCTTTTACTATTTCAGCCATGTAGGCACCTAGAGAAAAGCAAGATTCGGTTATTATTTTTAAATTTCTTAAAAAAAAACTACTGTTTCAGTTATGAAAACAAATCTAGCAGACTTTAAAAGGTCCTAATGAAAGATGAGCATTTTTTAAAAATCGTAATTGAGCTTTGCTTTGCTGTAGGTGCCTCCATGGCTGAAATGATAAAAAACTTGCAGGGCTATAAGGATATACATATATGTATTTAAATCTCAGAGAAATCCTCTTCTCATCATCATTTTGTGATTTCCCTATGGTTGGTCTGAATTCCATTGACAATCCATTTCTAAACTGTTTGTGCTGCATTGCTGTCCCAAGATCCCCAATATCCAACCCTGAATCCCGAGCCATGGTGTCCGGGAAAGTCAATTTTCATTAGAAGACACATCCTGAAGGATGCCATAGGAATAAGGATGAGACGATTTCCCTGTCCACCCGGTGGCAGTAGACGGCAAACTCATATCTCTTACTTTCTCTCTCTCTCATTTATTGCTTTATGTCTCTTTCTTTCTCTTTCTCTATCTCTCTTTTATTGTTTCATATCTCTTCATCATCGTCATCATCACCATCCTTTGACCTCTGTATGGTTGGTCAGAATTCCATTGACAATCCCTTTCCATATTGTTCGGTCTTGTATTGCTGTCCCCAGATCCCCAATGTCCAAAACTGAATCCCAAGTTATGGTGTCTGCGAAAAGTCAATTTTCATGAGAAGACACTTCCATAAAGATGCTACAGGAGTAAGGATAAGACGGTTTCCCTGTCCGCTTGGTGGTAGTGGATGGCAAACTGTGATCGTTTTTGTTTCAGCTTAAGAGAGATTGGTCTTAGTTCTCCGTAGATTGAGTTAAGCATTGCATGGGATCTCCAACTGATATTCTGGATTTTTCTAAGTAGATTTGTATATGTTCCATTTGGTCATCTTTTAGAAGACAAATCACCTTGTAGCCCAGCGTGCTTTTACTATTCTAGCCATGGAGGCACCTAGAGAAAAGCAAGATTCAGTTACCATTTGTTAATTTCTTAAAAAAAAACTACTGTTTCAGATACAAAAAAAAATCTAACAGACTTTAAAAGGTCCTAATGAAAGATGAGCATTTCTTAAAAATAGTAACTGAGCTTTGCTTTGCTGTAGATGCCTCCATGGCTGAAATGGTAAAAGCATGCCGGGCTACAAGGAAATACATATTTGTACATAAATGTGTGTTTGTTATTCTTTCTCTTATATTTATATGACATTAATATTATATTTATTTAATTACAGAGGGAACTGCCTGTTTAATTTCTGCAGACGGAGCTTGACAACAAGTGAAGCGGCAACAGCTCTCCGGCCATTTTATTTCGCTGTTCATCCAGATTTATTTGGGCAACATCCAAAAGAAAGAGTTGAGTTTACTTTATAAGAGTTTTTTTTATGTTACTGTATCATTGATATTTATATAATTTACTTTCTCTTGTATTTATTTATATATAGTTTTAACTTAATTAGCTACTATATTTCCATAATATTCACTCCCCCTCTAACTCTTCAAATGTCGAAAGTATAACTAATTATAATTTCCGTATCCCCCCCTCTATAACCTCTTTACACTATATTATTTATAATTTATAAACATTCTAAGATCTCCCCAACTCTTTTTCCATTAATCCCTTACATCCTTTTATCTATATTTTAAAATTATTTTTAATGCCCTTTTTATTCCTCTTTTAATTTTAAATTAATATTTCACTCTTCATATAACCCCAAATTAATGTCATAAGGTCAATATTCAGATTTAATTTTGTAAAACTTCTTCCCTTTAAGAAAATTACCTTCCACCTGACTGAAACATTGAAATGGATAAATTCTCTAGTCTTTTGACTGTTTTTTTTTTTTTTTTTGCTTTCGCTGTTAAATTTCTATTTCTGATACAAACTCCGTCTACGACAGGGTTGATAAGACAGATGACCGATATCTTTGACTGCCAAAATAGGCTATTCCCCATATGAGGTGATTTGGGATTTGATGACACTTTGCAGATATCTCTCCTGAGTAAGACTTTCATAGAGAAGAACATATGAAGAGTGAAATATTAATTTAAAATTAAAAGAGGAATAAAAATGGCATTAAAAATAAAAATAAAGGCTGTGTGTATGCTATCCCGTGCAGCTGCGGAAAGAAATATAAAGGGGAGACAGGCTGCCCCCTTAAGGTAAAGCTTCAAGAACACCAGAAAGCTGTAACACAAGGGGAAGTGGAAAAATCAGGTGTGGCTGACCACATATGGAGAGAGAAGGGAGATCACTGCCCTCTGTGGGATCAGGTTGAGATCATAGACAAGAAACACCATTGGAAAATTCGTAAACTTAAGGAATCAGCACATATGCTAGGCCACAAAAATCTCCTGAGCCGACCAAGCATAGAAATGAATATAATATGGGAACCAGTAATAAGGAGTGCCAGAGAAAAGTGATAATAACAACAAAAGTTGCAATATGAGCTCTAGTAAAAATGGTTGATGAGACATTAGGTTTATAATACCCAGAAATTCATACACAGATGTCCTCAAGGACACATGGCACAATGGATAAAAGTGTTAGATCCAGTGACAGGACCCACAGTGTGAGTTCAATACCCGGTTAAGGCAGTAGAGAATGACACTTGGAGAGGAGAATTAACAGGAGATAACTGATAACTGACATCCATTAAACATGGCACATGGAACTAGAACAGTCTACCCCAGTGAGCGAAATAAAGGGTTCAGTTCGACATTTCAACCACCTGAAGAAGGCTGGAGCGTACAATGTCCGAAACGTTGTAATAAATATGGCAACAAAGATAAGGACAATAGTCCGAATAATGTAAATAATGTAATTATTTGCTCTCTAATAATAAATACATTGAGCTTTTTTTGTGGATCAGTTTTAATATTTTATATTACTAGGATCCACTTGGATTATATACCAATAGATTTGTTACCTTTACTACATATATATGTGTGTGTGTGTGTGTGTATATATATATATATATATATATATATATATATATATATATATATACACATTATTATTCTCTAAAATATTCATGGGAAAATTTGAGGAGACCTATATCTATCCCCTCATTAGTAGCGACTGCGTATTCTATGCAAGATACAGTGTAACCCGGATATAAGAGAGATTTTTTCTGGTCCCAAATTAGAGCCTGTGTTAATGTATATAAAATAGACCAAACTCGGATATAAGAGACTTCTTCTCCGGTCCCGACAACTCTCTTATATCCGGGTTACACTGTATATCGATGATATATTCTTTGTATACACGGGTAGTGATGACAAACTTACCCATTTCCTTATGACCCTAAACACAGTGCACAACTCAATTAAGTTTGACTATGAAAAATCCACAACATCAGTAACATTTTTAGATACCCGCATTTACATAGATGAAAACAGGAAACTACAAACGACACTACGGACTAAAACCATCAACGCCCACAACTATCTACACTTTAAGTCTTCCTACCCTAAACACCTCAAAGAGAACCTTCCCTATTCACAAGCACTTAGACTCAGGATATGTTCCAACAATGAAGAATTAAATAAACACATTGAAAATCTGGAGCATCAATTCACAACACGTGGCTATAAAGAACACCTAATCAGGGATCAAATAAATAAAGTAATTTCCACACCTAGAGAAGACACCCTAATGTACAAGATTAAAAATAAATCTAACCGCATTCCTCTAGTAACCACTTTCAACCCCACTCTGCCTTCACTATCCCAAATAATCAAACGTCGCTGGGAAATACTACATCTCAAACCAGACCTAAAAAAATTGTTTAAGGAACCCGGCCTTCTAGCATATTGTAGACCTAAGAACCTAAAAGAAATCATAGGTAGTAACCACATTTCAGGGGACAAGGTAATTCATAATAAACTAAGAACAAAAACAACAGGATTTTTCCAACCATGTAACAACAAAAGATGTTTATGCTGCAACCATATTAAACACACGAATTCATTCACTAGCTCAGTCTCTAAATCTACTTTCAAAATCTACCACGATTCTAACTGTAGAAGTCATAACATAATTTACCTCCTAGAATGCACACTATGCCAGAAACAATATGTAGGAAAATCTGAATGGCCCTTTCACTACAGAATTAATAATTATCACAATCGAATTAAGTCGACTCCCCATGAAAAATTATTACCTGTAGAACAACATTTCTGCCTAGAAAAACGCGATTTCAAAACCCATGCCAAATTCACTATAATTAAGAGAATAGAAAAGTTCAGAGCAGATAACATTAGAAAGATTTTAGAGTTCCATGAAAATAAGTGGATACAACGTCTAAAAATACACTATCCAGCCGGGCTAAACCATAAATTTAACAATATAAATAGTATTAATATATAACAGTACAAATCAAAACTTACCCACATTTCTCACCCGCACAAGACAGACATGCTTACGGAGGTGTTGAGGCCTCACACTTATACACACACCCACACGAGCATACACACTTACACACATCATACTCACTCACTCCCTAATGAGCCAAATGATAACACACACCCACAGCAATATACACGCTTACACATATCATACTCACTCACTCTCTAAGAACCAAATAACACACACACAAACACTTAACAGAGACACATCCGCTCTCCAATAAAACTGTCAATCTGACCAGGGGAATTCAGAGCAGCATAGATCCATCCAGCTCTTATCTCAAATAACAACTTAAAAGAGACTGTTTGACCAACACAAGGAATGTTAAAAGATTCATGTTAAAAAGATAAAAAAAATTAAAAAAACAAATGAAAACTACAGACAAGTTCATTTTCTCCATCAAGACATTCATTTCTGTAGTTTACTGCTACCAGCAAGCAGAAATATTTCTTCTCCCGATGATGGCCATTTTTGCTGAAACTAGTCGAGGAATCTAAATGAAATAATAATAAAAAAAACGAAAGAATATTAATCTACAACCCAGTGTGTCTGAAGATTTTAATTTTTTAATATTTTTTATTGTTCAAAAAAAAAAAATATATATATATATATATATATATATATATATATATAACCATTGATTCACTAAAAAATGAGCATACCATGATGAAAAAATGACCCAAACTTCATAAAAGGAAATTTTATCATCAAAATCATTAACAGGAAAGGATTTTTTGATTATTAAATTATATTTTTGATCCTTTTTAATAAAACGTTCAAAATTTTGATTAAAAAGTCTCGTTTTTTTTCTTGAGATACTGACCAAGCTCAATGTTGCTCTGATTGTACAACATTAAAAGCATTGTATATAATTTGTAACATATCTATATATTATGTTGACTTTATTCCATAAATCTTCTGTGTGCCATGTCTCCTCAGGATGTTGGCAAACATGGCTCTCCACAATTACCTGTCCTTTGCAGATCTTAATAAATTTTCTTTTTGTTATCTCACCTAAACCTTATTTTGCCATCAAGCTCACTAGATCAGTTATACATTATCCCTCTTGCCTTCAGTCTATCTTATCAGTATCAAATTTTCCAAGCCCTCTTTCCTCATTATGTACCCTAGAAATTTCAACTATCTCTTTTTGATGTTAAGTATTAGTACCTTTTTTTTTATTTCCATTTTCTCTGAAACTTTATCGTTGCTCACATGTTCGGTCCATAGTATTCTTAGAACCACATTTCTATTGCTTCAGTGCCATATAGGAGGAATGATATTGCATAACAGTTCAGTACTCTTGTAATCAGACAGTCTAATATATAAATAGTGTTTAACATTTTGTTTCTAATTTTAAAAAAGCTATATAAATCCAGATGCTCTCAAACTATTTTATGTGGTGAGAGCAAATGAAAAAAAATGCTCAGAAAATGCATTCATTGTTTTTTCAAAATTTATAATTACAGCTACTTATAGTTATGCGTTTATTTATCTTGTAATAAATATTGCATTGTATTTGGTTCACATAATTTTATAATTTTTTTTTTCCTAATATTCACCCAATACAAGGCCCAAGAGCCACTTAAGGTAGAAGGTTACTGTGTGGAGTTAGTATAAGAAAGGTCAAGCATTAGGAGCATAGAGCTGAAGTAGATTTTAGAAGGAAGCAGAAACCCAATCCTAAACAGGAAACAATTGATAAACTTCTAGATTTGCCTATCGTCTGGTTTATACTTATCCCCGGTCTTTTGAACAGGAGTAGAGGAATTTTACTATTTATTAAATACTTTAGACACTGTAACTGTCTATATTTCTGAGATATGTATTGTAATTATTATTTACATTGTTTTGACTGCTGTCCTCATATATATTGCCATATTCACAATGTTTTGGCTGTTGTATACCCCTTCAGGACACATGGCCCAGTAGATAAAAGCATTGGTTGGATACAGTGACTTCACTTAAAGAATTGTGAGTTCAATACCAGGCTACTGCAGTGGTGAACAAAAACTTGGAGAGTTAAGTTAAAGGGAGATAACTGAGACATCCGAAAGAGGCATGACACATGGAATTAGAACAATCTACTCTGGTGGATAAAATAAAGGGTTCAGGTTGAAATTCCAATCACCTGTAGAAAGCCAGAGCATACAACGGCCAAAATGTTGTGAATATGGCAATAAAGATAAAGCCAATAGTCCAAACAATGTGAATAATTTAGATACCATGTTTTCTTGTGCATAATATGAAAAATCTTGAATGAAAATTAAAGGCAAAAAGGTGGGGTTGAGTTATACAAAAGTACGTGTTTTCAGAAATTTTTACTCTGCTTAAAAACCTGTTATTTGAAATGGCAAGATTTCAAATTGAGCACAGTAGGTAATAAAACACAAAGTAGGCAGGTGTTGATAACAATTGTCTACAAAAGATATTTGATATGTCGGCCATATTTGGTCTTTGGGAATTATCGTAGTTGAACATCTCTTGACTCAGTTTTGCTCCCAAGATAAAGTTTGTTTAGATTTTGATTTTTTTGCCTTTTCATAAAGTTTTTTTTCTCTTTATTCTTAATGAGAGACAATATTGATTTTTTTTTTTTTTTTTCTTTTTTTTTTATAGTTTATTAATATATCTTCTTTATGTGCCATGACCCTTCAGGATGTTGGTGATCATGGCTCTCAACAACTTCCTGTCCCTTGTAGCTCTTAATATATTTTCTGTTATTTTTCCTCAGCCCATAAAATTATTTATATAAAAGGCATAGAGAGGGAACCTTATGGCTGTGGGAAAGTGAGTGATGTCAAGCTGCCAGATCAGGACCAATAATATTGCTGATTATAATTTGGATTTTATCAAGGAACTCTCGATTAATACCAGTCTGCAATGGACCAAATGTAGCAGCAATATTCTAAGAATAGACGATTGGTAGACTTATAGATATGTAAGATAGATTCTGGGAAGAAAAACTGTCTTGCAAGACACAGTGAATCAACTTTCTTAGCAGCTGACCTAGCAATGGATTCATTATACACTCAGTTTGCATAATAGATAATAAAACACAAAGTAGACAGGTGTTGATAACAATTGTTTACAAATGTTATTTGATATGTCAGCCATATTTGGTCCTTGGGAATCCATGTAATTGAATATCTTTTGTCTTGCTCACATGATAAAGTTTGTTTAGATTTTGATTTTCCTGTGTTTTTTTTTCTAAATCTTTATCTATTATTTTTATTAAAGTTTTTGAAATTCACAATCTGGACTTTTTTTTATGCATTTTACTATTTATTAATCTTTATTAATATTCCTTACCTTTCCACTGCATTATTTTTCAATCCCTCTCATTTGCAGAAACCTTATTGTTAATTTCACTCAAAAGTGTTTTCTGTTGCCATAGCAGGATATGACAACATAACTACGAAATTCAAACAAATTTAGGGATCAGAGTCACCTTCAGTTGCAGGATAAGCTTTCTGCACAGCAAATGAATTTACATACTGAATGATAAAGGTTAAATACTTTAGATACTTTGTTTTCTTGTGTATAATACAAGAAATTTTGGATAAAAATTAAAGGCAAAAGGGGGAGGCGGATTATACACAAGTAAACGTTTTCAGAAATTTGTACTCGACTGAAAAAAATCTTTTATTTGAAACAAGATTGCAAATACACTCGGCACAATAGATAATAAAGCACAAAGTAGGCTGGTGTTGATAACAATTGTTTATAAAAGGTATTTCATATGTATGCCTAGACCTGGGCAGTGGAATGAGAACAGTCTAACCCCATAGATTAAATAAAGGGTTCAGTTCAATCCCTGGACAGGGCAGTATGTACATGGATTCAGTGGAAACAGGGCAAACATTAACTGAGCAGCACTAAAAATAAGAACTAGATAAGATATCTCTAGACATGGGCAGTGGAACGAGAACAGTCTAACACCGTAGATTTAATAAAGGATTGAGTTCAATCCCTGGACAGGACAGTGTGTACATGGATTCAGTGGAAAGAGGGCAAGCAATAACTGAGCAGTACTAAAAATAAGAACTAGACAAGATATCCCTAGACATAGGCTGGGCAGTGGAACGAGAACAGTCTAACCCCGCAGATTAAATAAAGTGTTCAGTTCAATCCCTGGACAGGGCAGTGTGTACATGGATTCAGTGGAAACAAGGAGAGCATTAACTGAGCAGTACTAAAAATAAGAACTAGACGTGATATGCCTAGACATGAGCAGTGGAATGAGAAATTTTCTAAAAGTTAATAGGGGCGGGGAGAGTGTTCAAGTGGATGTCCATTGCAAATTCATCCCTCCCCTTTAAAATCCAAAACAAATATATTCAATACAACATTTTTTAAAATGTAAACAATATACTTGGGAGGTGGTGGAATTAGTTATCATATTTCTTTTGTATAATATGACTTTAGTATAAAACAACCCATTAAACATTTTTGTCTCATTTCATATTTGCCTTTGTTTTGAAAATCTCATCACTTTTTATTTTATCTTGTCATTTTAGGGGATAAATGAAGAATCCTTAAAGAAATTAAACGAATATGTTTCTGCCCTTCATTCTGTTGGCTATGCTCGACCGACAGAAGTTATTTTTTACCTGAAGATCAGTGATGACAACAAAGGATTTCCAGGTAAGAGTTTAAGAATCAGGAGTATGAAAAATATAAATAATAAAGATCAGATAATAAAACATCGTGTCATATATGATATTTACACAATTGGGTGATTGTCACTTTCAATTAATCACTAAGCAGAAAATTTTTCCCATAGTGAGCTACTGTTTCTTTCTGCAGTAGACTAGTTGCCAACTAAGGCTATAGAGTCCAGTCTTTTTTTTTTTTTCAATGGTGTTCACCCTGTACAAGGCCAGGGAGGTGCTCGAGGTAGATGGTTACAGAGTAAGAGGCACTGCTTGTGCAGATATGTAGGAAAAAATAATAAGGAAACTTTCACAAGACAATTTAAAAAAAAAAAAAACATTGTTGAAAAAAAGAAAACTTCATTTTTTTATCCTTTCAGGTATGTAATTTTGATTTTATTTTTCATTTTTTTCATTTTTACTGCTATATTTGGAATCACCCAAGCAATTTCACACCATAATGGAACATTTTCAATACTGTGGACTTTTAGTGCTTATACTGCAAATTAATCAAAACTTCAAATTCTGTCCAGAGGTTATAGACCTTGGGAAAGGCATGAATCTAATTCTCCCTGTTCTGTTGTTCACAAAATGTCTTGTCACTGCCATTTCTTGATGACTTCGGCAGGTTATTCCTCCAATAATCATTTTATCTGTCTGGTGAGTAGAAGTAAAAAGCTGTTACTTCCTTTGTCAATCTTCTTGGGGGACCATTCAGTCTACATAAGACTATGTGGGATGAAATAACAAATATATTTATCTATTACTTTTTTCTTTTTATTGAAATAAGAATATATACAAGGTGGCCACTGAAAGACTGATATAAAACAAAAATAACTTTTACAAGCACATGAGTATCTTGGGGTAATAAAGTTTGGACCATTTGAATCTTGTATGGAACCATTTTTAAATTGAGTTTCAGAATCTTCTGAAAGAATGTTCTGGTAATGCCTAGTTGAGCAAAGCGATGATGGGTAGAGGCTAATGGATCCTCAAGGACACTCTGCCATACAGCTTCCACTGCTGTGTCATTGTGTACAATGTGCTTTGGACCTCTTTCCAGAAGAATACCGACTAATCCAGTTCTTTCAAACCAGGCGATTAGATTCCAATCATGTTATCGCTAGGAGATACTCTGACATTAAAATGTTGCCAGTATTTTCTCGGAGTTTGAATAAATGATTTTTCATTAGAATAGAAAAATTTAATGAGTTTTACTCATTGCTGTACATCATATGTAATCATTTTAATCTCCAAGCGTTATTCTATAATCAGCAAAAAAAATAAATAAAAATGTTATGACTTTTTCAAAACCTTCAGTTTTTCAGTGCCCCCTAAACTAGGTAGTGCTGAAAAGTTTGCTGCATGACCCACTTTCCTTAATGACCAAACATCAACATTTGTTTTTTGAATTCCTTTCTGGGTAGGGCTAAGAACTTTTCACTCTTTTTTTTTATTGTCTATAATGTCAATAACCTTATGTTGTGTTAGATTTATCTCCCTTGAATTGTCAACACCAAGTGGCAGTGCATCCTGGGTATGATGATAAACTACATCCATGTCCTGGATATGAAGATAAGCTACATCCGCATCCTGGGTAAGACGATAAATCATGTCCAACAGCAAGGCCTCTGATCAGGGGGCTTTGAGAAGTGTGGAACCACCTATTAATGGCTGGTGTTCTCAGGTCCACCCTGACCCGGGGTGATAGCACCTGTTAGGGTCCCAGTGATGGGCAAATAGTTAACCCCCAGATTGGGGTCAAAACACTATGAAAGTGTAAAAATAGGTTTTAATATCAGAAATACTTTTAAAAAAAATTATTACCAGCAATACATTTTTCAAAATAAAATATTACCAGCAATAAAAATCTTGTTGGCATTAAATAACCCATTGAGGTTGATATGCTGTAAACCAAACCAAGTGGTAGTGTCTTTGCCATGGAGACAGTTCCAAGCAATTTACAAAATTGAAAGGTGTAAAAAAAAAATTTTTTTTTAAATATTTACAATGTGAAAGAACATAGTGCAATAAAAATTGAAAAAATAAACTTAAAATGTAGTTAGTTTTGACTCAGGGTCATCAAGCATGACAGTTGATCAAAGATCTTTGGCTGCTTTGGTCTCCCAATGATATCCATATTTTGCAAGGAAGAAAAACTTTTGTTTTTTTTACAAAGTTATTACCATATATGCTCATGTATAGGTCACGTCAGTAGATAAGTCGCACCATTAGATTGGGATTGTCAAAGTAAGTATTTGCAGTTGACTCACAGATCACATTATAATCTAGGGAGTTACTTTTTTTAATGTAAATATCTCTATCTATAAAAGGCAGGATGTGTGTGTGTGTAACGAATGCACGGCCGCAATTTTTGACGGATTTGCACCAAAATTTACATGCACATGCTCCAAGTTAGCAGGAAGGCCAAGACTGACTTTGCATTTCCCAACTCCCATCAATAGTGGAAATAATCAATTTTTTCACGCTTCTACCGCAGTTTTCATGTAGTTTGCGGCCATTTTGTACTGGCCAAAGTGAGAGCCTATAACTGGCTGCCACAAATAGGCAGGAAGATTCTATTGGCCAGCGTGAGAGCCAACAGCTGACTGACACGAATGTTAACTAGCATGCTAGCATGCAAAAAAAATCGATAGCTGCATTCGTCACAAGTGAGAAAAATTTAAATCTGCACGGCACTTTACTTTATTGGTTCATTCACTTACTTAAACTCAACGTTGATTCTGATTCCGCAGAACTGGGTTGGGTGTGAAAAAGTATTTGTTACAAGTCCTTTTTTAAAGCTGATCATTTTGTATTCATTTTGTTTAGTTCTTTTTTCATAACAAATTTAATGTTTAATATAGCGCTTAGAAAAAATTTGCAGTGTGAGATAGGTAAGAAGTAAGGCATGTAGCAACATCAGCATGGCAAAGGGCACTCCTTTAAAGGCAAGGAAGGGCAAAAATATTTTAAGTTAAGTGATAGCGATTGCTGTATGAGTCGTACGATTTTTTAATCAAGCACGGGCAATGCCGGACCATCCTGCTAGTAACTAATATTAAATATTTTCAGTTATTCACCTTCATTTCAAAACTTTGCTTACATATATTAAAACATAAGAAAAGTGATTGGTTGTAATTGCATGGTATTTACTTATCGAGTGTGGGATTGTTCTGTTTAGACGAAAATTTGTGTACTGGCAATTGCTTCAGTCACTTGATCACTTGAAAATGATGACCTTTCATCGTAAATCAAATAATAAATGGTAAATATGAGCAGTGCAGATTGAACATTTTTATTCAATGTGTGATGCAGTAATGTTGGAAGGAGCAATTGTATAAAATCAAATTGTCAGGGAAAAATTCATTTTCTATCTTGCCCAGGGTACTCACCTGAACTACTGATATACCACAGTCTATTTCAGATTCTCTATGATGTCAAGTGGATAGGTCACACCCCTGATTTTTATTAAAATTTTGATGAAAAAAAAAAGTGTGATCTATCCTGAAGTATATGTGGTAGCTAAATTTCCATACAATATTTTTTAACTAATTTTAGCCTTGTTTGTGGTAATTAATTTGGTAGGCATTGTAACAGTATATATATATATATATATATATATATATATATATATATATATATATATCTTAAATATTTTATGTGAATTTTTATTTAATTGTGCATGACCAAACCCCAGGGCACTTGACTGTGCCACTCCCCTTTCTCAGTGATCCTCTTTGCCTTAAAAATGTTTAATTTGATGCTATTAATAGTGTGAATAAACAATCTAATAAATAAATAATGTTCATTATCTTTGTTGTCAGTTCTCAAGAAAAAAGAAAATGTACAAGTTCATATGTTTAGGTTTTATTAAAATTCTAATCAGCACTTTTTAAAACAGTAAATATTGCTGAGGAGTGAAGGTTGTTAAAATAATAGCAGTGTCAAGGGAAAAAAAACCATCTTTTGACACAGTTTTTTGGGTTTTTTTTTTTATTTTTGTTTTTTTTTCAGACACAAAGGTTAAAGATTGCCAAATTTTTTATTTTATAGAAAAATGTTTAAAAGCATATTGATTTTCAGATGACAAGATTCAAAAATCAAAAAATAATTTTTCTCCAAACTATTTTTAGAAAATCATTGGCAATGCATTTATATTATACACATAATATCCCTATAAATATTTATAAATAGCTCTATAAATATTTCTTGCATTAATTCCTGACTGGTGACAATCTCTTCCTTCCTGATTTTCAATGAATTCCTAAAGTAACGTCTTTAGTAACACGTTTTGTATGAATATTGAATATTACTGTCACATCTGGTCTGTTGCATTTATAATGTTATTGGTCCTGACGTGGCATCCTGGCTTGATGACAATAAATAATAGGAAAGTGACCTTCAATCTGTTGCTGAGGAAAGAAATGGCTTGTTAATTTTAATGCTGCCAAACCAAAACTGCTCTCTTTTAATCATTTTAGAGAACACCTTTGTTTGCCTTCCATCAGCATGGCTAACACCCAGAAAAGTATCACACTGTGCCTTCTCAAGCGAATATTTCCATTGACATGAAGCAGAATAATTATCTTAAATTAATTGCTAGGTATGCTGCTGGGAAAGTTGGTTCACTGTATCATGATAGACAATTCTTCTCATCAGGAACTATCTTACACTGTTATAAGTCTACCCTTTGTCCGTGCATTGAATGTTGATGCCACATCTGGTCTGGTACTTCTGCAATGCATTTGGAGATTCTTGATAAAATACAATGAAGAATTGTCAATGTAAAGCATGGGGAAGCTACATAACGATGATGGGAAATTGACTGAATCCGAAATGCCATGTAAGAACCAATTGTAGATTCTTCTTTGGATTTTATTAGGAATCTGTAAATACAGAGTGAGATGGGTAAATTGTCGCCAGTTTATATTTTTAATGTCACTCATGGGTGTTGTTTGCTTTTGATTTTGTTGACTGCACAGTTTAGTA